GGCAAAGATGTTGTCATTGAAGTGGATGTTGTTATGTCTGCCATCCCTCTTTTGTTGAGTCTAAAATCTCTTAAAAAGGCCAATGCAAAATTGAACATCGAAAAAGATACAGCAGAGTTTTTTGGGACCGAAGTACCATTAAACTTTACTTCAAGTGGTCATTATTGCATTCCTATTGGAAAAACTGATGAGATAAGGGTACAGGAAGTTTGCAATGTGGTTCTGAGTGATGTTATGCCAGAAGAAAGAAAGAAAATTTTGCAGAAGCTGCACAAACAATTTGCCCATCCATCTATGCCCAGACTAAAAGCATTAAAGGCTGATGCTGGAGTGTGGAAAGATCAATACAATGAAGAACTTTGTGAGATTTATGATGGCTGTCAGACATGCAAGATGTATAAAAAGACACCAGCAAGACCAGTGGTCAGTATGCCAATGGCAAGTAGATTCAATGAAAAAATAGCCATTGATCTGAAGAGCTGGAAAGGAAAGTATATCCTTCACATGATAGATATGTTCACAAGACTGAGTGTGTCAGTTTTTATTAACAGCAAATCCCCACCTGTTGTTGTTGAGAAAATCATCCAGCATTGGATTGGAGCAGGATGGGGTGTCATGGAAGGAATTTTTTTTGATAATGGTGGAGAATTCAATAATTCTGAAATGCGTGAGGTGGCTAGTATTCTCAATATCCAGCTTTCCTCTACTCCTGCTGAAAGCCCATGGAGCAATGGTCTATGCGAAAGAAATCACCAAATTACTGATCGAATGCTGGAAATCTTAACAGAAGAGAATCCCAAGACAGATGAAAATACTCTCTTGGCATGGGCAAATGTAGCAAAAAATTCATTGCAGATGTGGAATGGTTTTAGCAGTTATCAGCTTGTCCTTGGAAAAAACCCAAACTTGCCAAACATTATGTCAGAGAAACTTCCAGCACTACAAGGCACCACTTCAAGTGAAATTCTGAAAACGCATTTGGATGCCCTATTTTCAGCAAGGAAAGCGTTCATTCAATGTGAAGCTGATGAACGCATACGGAGAGCACTTAGACATCCTATCAGAGCCACTGATGATGTATTTAATCCTGGTGACAGGGTGTTTTACAAGCGTGATGGAAGTCATAAATGGCTTGGTCCAGGAAAAGTCCTTTATCAAGATGGAAAAGTTGTTTTTGTACGCCATGCTGGTGTATATGTTCGTGTGTCAACAAACAGACTAATCAAGGATGTAGACTTGAAAAATGATGATGTGGTTGTTGATCAAAGGGACACAAATCCAAATATGTCAGTTCCCTTGCAAAGAGATAATAGCTCTTGTGCTACAATCTCAACGCCACAGCTATGTGAAAACCTGGGTGCATTAAGGGTTGGTCAGGAACAAGACCCTGATACCCAGCACCATGCACATGATATGGAAGAGCAACCACAATTTGCATACCAACAAAAGATCTCATTAAGAAAAAATGACCAGATCGAATACAAGATAAATGAAAACGATCCATGGATTACAGGGACAGTTTTAGGGAGAGCAGGCAAAGCAAGTACATCAACTAAATACTGGTTCAATGTAGAGGACAAAGACACAGGCGAAAAGAAAAGTCTTAACTTTGAACAACTGAGTGATTGGAAAAAGGTAAATGAAGAAATTGACTTAGTGACTGTCTCTGATACCAAATCTACTTTAAGTGATGTTTTGCAAGCAAAACATGTTGAGCTAAGGAAATTAAAAGATTTTGATGTTTACGATGAAGTTGAGGATGTTGGTCAGCCTTGCATATCCACTAAGTGGGTAATAACTCAAAAAGATGGTGGGATAAAAGCCCGTTTAGTTGCCAGAGGTTTTGAAGAGACCCAATATATTGAAAGTAATTCTCCAACAGTTGCAAAAACAACCATGCGAATACTTCTGGCAACTGCTACTAGCAATGGTTGGACAGTAAAATCTAGTGACATCACATCTGCCTTTCTTCAAGGAAAGCAAATTCAAAGAGATGTGTTCATCAGACCTCCTCCAGAAGCTGCGCAGAGTAATGGGGCACTGTGGAAACTTAAAAAGACCCTTTATGGGCTAGCGGATGCTGCGAGACAATTCTTTGACAGTGTAAAAGAGGAGTTAATCAATCTTGGGATGAAACAATCCAAAGTTGATTCATCACTGTTTTACATGACATCAAATACACAAGTTACTGGTGCTCTGATTATGCACATTGATGATTTTTTGCATTGTGGTAATGAAGTTTTTGAAGAGAAAGTTTTGAAACCACTTGCAGAGAGATTTACAGTTGGGCGACGTGCAAAGGACAATTTTACATACATTGGTTTTGACATCAAGCAAACCCATAAAGGTATTACTATTAGTCAAGGGGCATATGTTGAAAATATTCAAAGTATTAAAATTGATCCAGGAAGAGCCAAGGAAAAGAAAAGCCCCTTAACATCTGAGGAACAGAAACAGTTCCGTAGAATTGTTGGACAGTGCAACTGGGTTGCACAAGGAACAAGACCTGATCTTGCATTTGATGTTGTTGAAATGAGTTCAAAATTCAACAGCAGCCAAGTGTCAGATCTTTTGAGGGCCAACAAAAGTTTATTAAGAGTTAGGCAGCACAATTCAATCATCAGAATTCCACATCTTGGACCTTGTAAGAATTGGCATATTCTTGTCTTCTCTGATGCATCTCTTGCCAATATGTGTGATGGTGTATCTAGTATGGGAGGTCACATCATTCTGCTACTTGGAATGAACAATGCAGCTGCTGCTATAGCATGGTCATGTGCAAAGATCAAAAGAGTAGTCAAATCTACTCTTGCTGCAGAAATGCTCAGTTTGGCTGATGCATTAGATCATGCAATTTATCTACAACAAGTTATTTCAGAGCTTACTTCATTTGATGACATTCCCATTGATGCTTTTGTTGACAATAAATCAGTTGTAGAAGCTGTCTACTCCACAAAATCAGTTGAAGACAAACGTTTGCGTATAGATGTTGGGTCAGTTAAAGAATTGTTAGAGAGAAAAATCATAAATAGTGTTCAATGGATTCCAGGGGAACAGATGTTAGCTAATCCATTAACAAAGCTGGGTGCATCATGTCTGGATTTACTGAAGTGCATTCAACAGGGAAGAAAACTATTTTAAGGATTTCTTCAGTTTAAAATTGTGACATTTTGACTTTATTTTATCCGCAAAGAAAAAAAAATTATAGTTAATGTTATGTTGTTGTTGTTGTAGGAGTTGAGTGTAGTGAAGACTAGCGAAACACGTGCGTTGCGTATATGTACAGAGATCCAGGTTTAACACTATTTATTGTCATTTGTAGAAGGCTTAGCTACTAATTAAATAGAGCATGCAAAGTAATTCCAATCTAAAACAGGCAAATGAGATTACACAACATCTTAGAATAAATGTTCAATAGTACATGATATTAGTATAGTAGATAGTGCTATTTATTGAATTTCGTAGAAGGCGTAGCTACTAATTAAATAGAGCATGCAAAGTAATTCCAATCTAAAACAGGAAAATGAGATTACACAACATCTTAGAATAAATGTTCCATAGTATATGATATTAGTATAGTAGATAGTGCTATTTATTGAATTTCGTAGAAGGCGTAGCTACTAATTAGATATAGTAGGGGAAGTAATGCCCTATTCAAAACAAATCGTGCAGCTCTAAACGTATTGCTAGTCATTTTGTGGGCTCATTGTTGTTATTTTTATTTACAGTAAACTAAGTCGAAATGAATTTCACATTTGCCCTCGTACAATAAATCCTTGTCCCTGTTCAAATATTTGCCAGAGTTACCCTTGATGTTAGTATTAGCAAGAAACGTATCATCAACGAAAATGTAATCATTTTCGTTGGGAAGGCCCTGCATCTCTGTGCCCCTTTAGTGGTGACGTGATAACCTTTACTGCAGTCATCACTGAGAAGGAAATACATGTTCCCCTAGGCAACATTGAGGAACATGTCAAAGCATAACTCTTGTACATATTTCAAGGATAATATATCAAAATTGAGTATCGACATAGAGATCAACAGGTATAAATATAAATGTAATAGAAAATGCTAACAACTAAGATATATAAAAAGATCGGAGTGGAATATTAACATCAATTATTTGCAATGAAGTTCTTAATTATTTACAGATAGAGCTAAATATAGGTAGAGTAGTTTATTCATTCAGTGATTTGTTAACGGTAGTTCAATTTCCATTTAAGTTGGCCAATGATAAATGTGGTTCAAGAAGAGATGTATTAGTTGAACATTTTATAGATCACTTGCTGTTTTTCTGAACAAAGATATATAACTAATAGGCTGATATGGTGCACCTTGGTAAACAAAGCATTTCAAGCTAAAATTTGAGCTCATTTTGGGCACCATAGTGCTGCATGAGAACTGACAGTATCAACATGCAAGGTCCATGAGCTCACTGAACACCATAAGGTGCAAGATACAGTGTATCCCCTTATAACAATGTGTGTGAGCTGTTGAGGCACAGAAATGCAAACAAGACACAAACAGTAGAATTGTATGTGTACATGTAGGACCTTTGAGCTCACCAGGTGCACCAATGTACAAGAGGAATCCAGTAAAACCGTCTTGTTATCATCATCAAAAAATCAAAGAGAGCCTGGCACTTTTATTAATCAATAGGTTGATATGGTGCACCATGACAAATGAAGCATTTTAAGCTAAAAACTTGAGCTCATTTTGGGCACCAAAGTGCTGCATGAGAACTGACATTATCAACATGCAAGGTCCATGAGCTCACTGAACACCATGAGGTGCAAGTGTATCTTCCAATAACAAAATGTGAGCTGTTGTGGCACCGAAATGCAAACAAGACACAAAAAGTAGGACTGAATGTGTACATGTAGGACCTTTGAGCTCACCAGGTGCACCACTGGATAAATGGTGTGCAGCCTCAAAGAATCTAGGTATTTAAAAATGCTCCAATTGTTATCTGGATATGACATTCTGTTAAGAACCAGGTTGGATGTTGTATTCTCATATTCATTAATTTTGAATGTCACCATAATTTTATGACAAATAGCTAGTTTCCATCTATACATAAAATATAAACAATAATCTGATGACATCTGTTTAGGCCAGAACTTCACGGTAAACAATGTTACTGGTTAAGCAACCATTTGTTGTGAAAACTTTAAGCCAGGGGTCGGCAACCTTTATAGAACAGGGGGCCAAATTTGATTTTTGAAATGCATACGAGGGCCGCAACTCAAAATACAGTATAATTTTAATAACCTAACTACTAATCTAATCAATAAAAATGTGTTTATCGGAAAATGTACTGTAACGTGGAAGCTGTACGTAAATACAAACATAGATGTAAAGTACATGTTCACTGTTCAGTGTATTACAAGAAGCTAATGGGCAACTTGGTGCTGCACGTCCTTGGCCAACTTCTCAATATTTGGCAGAATTGTTGATGTCTCTCAGTGTCAATATCAATATAGCCAGCTCTGTTGCCTGGTTGGACGAAGTTGTCTGGAAGCTGTGGGAGGCCTGAAAATTCAACATCTTCGATTAATTTACCATGAACCCTCAGGTTATTATCAATATCCCACAGACAAAGATACATGTGCCTGTCTTGGAATACAATGGCTGGATCATTAAGTTGATAATGTCTCACATAGTCTTCAGACATAGCTTCCTTGAATTCATTAAAGAGGTCCCTGATGTCACATGGAGTTTGAAATACCATCAGTGTAGCAAACAGCTTTCTCATCTGTGAAGGCATATTCATGATTGTGGCCTCTTCTAAGCAACGTCTGTGTTCAGCATCATCTTCTAGTAGACCCATTGCTCTTGCTGCATCCTTGAATGTGTCATACAGCTGTCCATCAATGGTTCTTATGTCTTCAAAGGATGTGACCCCTCTGCGGTGAAGCAATAGTAGTCGAAGGGCATACCTTTGTGGATCTGTAGGTTGAACTTGATAAAGCCTCCCAATAATGGACCTTGCAGTACGTTGTCTTTTTTTCCATTTCTTTGTCCTCAGATGAAAAGTGTAATGCTCTGGAACTTCAGTATAAAGATACTGTTGAGCATCTTCGTCATCTTGATTAAGTTGAAACTATGCAGTTAATGTTGTGTTTGGGTTCACATTAAGAATCCTTTCCTCGTTTCCTTCTTGGAAATAAACATTATGTTGTAGAGGAAGATGCACTGCAAGCCATATGATGATGTGACTTTTGTCATGCATTTTGTACTGCATGACCTTGAAAACATTTTTCAAGCCTTTTTCTATTCGTGGTCCGGGTTATTTTCACGGTTTACCCCCTTGGTCTTATCTGTTTATTCTTATTCCAATGCTTAAGCCTTCTATAGATTTATGTATTTTACCCTCCATTAATATTTTGCAGGCTAATCTTTATCCTGAATTTTACGTTAAAGGCAGTGTGCTCAAAATATGAGAAGCGTGACAAATTAGTACAATTGATCTATAGCAAGTAAGAGACCTCCTTTTGTTACGAAATGAGAAGTCAATGAAATATAAATTTGTTTTTTTCGGTAATCGAATGAACGTCGGCGCAATGTAATGCCTTTAAAGTTTGGCAAAAATTTACTTCTGCTTATTCTCTGTTGACACATTTTTCACGGGTTTCTCCTAGAAGTTCTTTTATTTATTCATAATTCAGTTATTCATCATTTTAACCATGTTTTTGTAGCCCACATTGAGTCGTGGGGCTCTATATACTTTGCGTCCTCCTTGTTGCTATTAATCTGTTTAATGAAAATCTTTAACCGCAAAAAACTCTAATTATCGAAGAAATTTTTTTCAACATTCTCTCATTACTATTCAGTAATACTCGATGTAATGTCCATGCCGCAAACTTTAACCTTGCAATTCTTTTGTTGAAGAGGTTTAGCAACTCGCTAAAAGTAGAATGTCTTTATGTGTAATGTCTTTAATAGGTAGAGATAAAACACACAAAAAGATATCTTTTGCGATTGTTAGTTCCTGTTTTGAGAAAAATTGACATCCAATTCTAAAATAGAATTGTCTATGGATTCGTCCTGCAAGCTATTGTTCATTGTTGCATCTTGCAATATTGAGGCAATACCTGCCTCTATGATATGGAGCCTCTGGACCAGCATCTCGTTCGTTCGGTCCACAAACCTTTTCAACGATTCTAACCTCTCCATTAATGAAGGATCCATATTGTTCTAGATGAGAGAACAAATGAACAGAACAAATCAAGCTTCAGTAAAATAAGTCAAATCAATCTCCTGTTTATAAGAAATTAGCAATAAGATTAGCAATAAGAAATGAGTTCTTCATTGGACATTCAGGAAAACTTAAATTTTATATCAATGCTATCAGCTGGTTGGCATAAAACTGAAGATGCAAAGAAAAATTTTTGAAAATTGGAAGCAACTTAACAAAAGTCCACGATCTTTTGCAGAATGAACAAACGAAAAATTTCAAAATAATTTGCCACAGCATCATGAAACTGGTGTACAAAGTGTCAACCCTGTTTTATTATAAAAGGGTGCATTATAATTGAAAAGTTTATGAGCTATTGTTTGCAAGATAATGATTGTATAAATTTACCTTAATGTTAAATGAAGATGCATTTCTAAACCTTGATGTTAAATAAAGGTGTTTTTGTGCACAGTACCATCGCATTACTCTACACCCCCCTCCCCCCCCCCACACCAAGCTCCAATTATACAGTTTCTCTCAAACGATTTAAAAATAAAGAACAAAGCAAACGATGAAGTACCTTCTTTCTTATTCGACTTTTCACTTCGCAATTTCTGGTGCTCTTTCAACCTATACACAGATTGTGTGATCTGAGGGTGTTACTTTTGGATATATATATATAAGCAAGCAATTGAAAGAGCTTCCTGTGATTCTTCGTTCAATTTATGCAAATCAATGGCCTCCACGGGAACCGTGTTGTGTTATAAAGTACCGCACAATCAGGGTATTAGAATAACCAGGGGGTGAAGGTGTTCTCCATTTTTTGTGATAGTTCGTTGAATCCGACAAAACTGTATCCAGAGAAACTCACACAGAATGTCTGACAGAATTTCAATTCCCATTGGATATTCTCACCTTATACAAGTCAAACATCGTACCAGAGTTAGACCATATTCTTACCCCCTCAAAGCTGAACTGTTACTGAAATGAATGCTTCATATTTATTCGAAGGCTTAATACACATTGGTAGATTTATTCATACAAGTTTTTATGATATTTGGATTATTTGGAATTGGTTCTGAAAATGTTTGGAAGTGACTTATAGTAACAGTGACTTACATTACAGCCTTCTTGGCCCTGAGTAATGATAGTGAAGAGACACGAGACATGAAAAGAAACACGTTTTTGGCTAATAATTTTTTTTCATCAACTATTAAAGAAAACATTCTTTATTATCTCTCCTCTATTATTTTCTTTATCTTTAAATTTTTTTTCTGCATCAGTTCCGATCTGGGTTTTGGGAGCCTTGATCTGGGCTCTGTGATCAGTGCAGAAAAATGTATAGAAATAGTTAGTTGACTGCAATAATTGAAGAATAAACAATTAAATAAAACTATCGTGAAATATATTTCTCTATTTCCAACAAAGAATTATGATAAACGTGAAAACGGAACAGGATAATGACAGGGACTATGGAAGCCGTGGGACCCTTGGGCTTGTTAAACCCCAAAGTGTACAGTGCTCTTGATATAAAGCGTGTTGAGCCCCCAAAGTTTTCAGTGTCCATCTAAAATCAGAAATATACTTTGTCAAGACGTGAAAAGAGTTTCATTGACAAGGCAAAATCATTGTAGTATCATGTAGTATTAGTCACCTTGCCCGCGTTTTCTTTTTATTCTCCCTGGCTTTCTCCCGCTGTTTGCCCGTGACTTGGACGTGCAGTGTGGTCCTATCTGCCCTAAAAAGAAGAATAATTTATTCATATAAACTATAACTAATTTTTTTTTGAGAAATGCTTATAGTTGGAGAAAATTATCAAATGCAAAACAGAATATAACCGAGTAGAGAACATAACGTAAGTTACCTGATGCGTTGAATTTTGCGGTTTTCATCATCAGTGAAAATGAACTCCGTATTCTTGTTAATCTGAAATTGGTGGGCTACCCTTGACTTAAATGAAGGAGCCCCTTCTTCTTTTCTCCAAATTATCCTCTGAAAAATTAGAGCCAAAATGAGTTTGGCATGTTATACAGTTGACTACATTTATTCGTTAACCACATTCTAGACTACATCATATGTGCATAAAATAAACTCATTTATGAGCAGCGAAATCTTTAAGTTGTCAAGAAGAGCAAGAAGCAAATAAAATGTGATTTACAAAATATTTGTAAACAAGAATTTATTTATACATTTTATTTATACATTTATCTGTAAACATACCTTGGTGTGACCCCGATGTGTAACTTTCACAAATTTCATTATTTAATTTTTGTCATTTTTCAAAGCAGTGTACTTCTGTTGCAGGTGCCAACTAATACTTATGTGTAGATAAACCCCCATTTTATAGGCAATTATATCTATTGAAAACACTACTCGCACTTCTTCTACTAAATAGAAAAGATAAATCCATATTAGAATAGAAAAAACATACTAAACCACCCGACAGATAAGGGGGACTTCAACACAAATATTTAAAGACATTTTTTCTAAATGCTAGGAAAAATAATTTGTTTGGAAATAATGGCTGGCATTGTGACTACGACGAAAGGAGGTGACCCCCTGTAGAGGACGCTGACATAGGAATGTTTTGTGTGAAAAACAACTGTCTTGTTATCACCCTTTGCAAAGACTTTGTAAGGTAGACTCATTAAGTAATTGCCGTTTTTGGTAGGTGTAGCTATTAATTAAAAAGAGTATGCAAAGTAATTCACCTTTGAAACAGATAAACGTGGTTACACAATATATAAGAATACATTTTCAATAGAATACCGTAGTGCTTTTGATTACCATTAGTAGCAGGCATAGCTACTAATTAAACAGAGCATGCAAAGTAGTTCCAATCTAAAACAGCCAAACGAGATTACACAACATCTTAGAATAAATGTTCAATAGTATACGATAGTGCTATTTATTGCCATTTGTAGAAGGCGTAGCTACTAATTAAATAGAGCATGCAAAGTAATTCCAATCTAAAACAGGCAAATGAGATTACACAACATCTTAGAATAAATGTTCAATAGTATATGATATTAGTATAGTAGATAGTGCTATTTATTGAATTTCGTAGAAGGCGTAGCTACTAATTAGATATAGTAGGGGAAGTAATGCCCTATTCAAAACAAATCGTGCAGCTCTAAACGTATTGATAGTCATTTTGTGGGCTCATTGTTGTTATTATTATTTACAGTAAACTAAGTCGAAATGAATTTCACATTTGCCCTCGTACAATAAATCCCTGTCCCTGTTCAAATATTTGCCAGAGTTACCCTTGATGTTAGTATTAGCAAGAAACGTATCATCAACGAAAATGTAATCATTTTCGTTGGGAAGGCCCTGCATCTCTGTGCCCCTTTAGTGGTGACGTGATAAAAAAACTCCACTTCTTTGGGTATTAAGTTGCCAGTCTTGCGACTGTTCTACCAGATGTGAAAGTAGCACAGTAAAGAATCTGTGAGGTAAAAAGATGATACCTGAAAAAGAATAAAAAAGATGCTTACCAGGGCAAGATCTAAATCTGAGTTGTTGAAATATTGCCGGATGCATTAGTTTAAAGCTCAAACACCACGTCAAGGGGCATCCTTTGTTTGAGTTTTCCTTTTTTGGGTGAAAACTGCAGGGTTTTATAACAGTTACAATAATGAACATGAACATTAATTGAAATTACCATTTTCAAAGTTGACTGGCTATTCAAATACAGTTTTCGTTATTTGAAACAAAGGAAACGTTTCTTACTGCAGTCATCACTGAGAAGGAAATACATGTTCCCCTAGGCAACATTGAGGAACATGTCAAAGCATATCTCTTGTACATATTTCAAGGATAATATATCAAAATTGAGTATCGACATAGAGATTAACAGGTATAAATATAAATGTAATAGAAAATGCTAACAACTAAGATATATAAAAAGATAAGATATATAAAAAGATCGGAGTGGAATATTAACATCAATTATTTGCAATGAAGTTCTTAATTATTTACAGATAGAGCTAAATATAGGTAGAGTAGTTTATTCATTCAGTGATTTGTTAACGGTAGTTCAATTTCCATTTAAGTTGGCCAATGATAAATGTGGTTCAAGAAGAGATGTATTAGTTGAACATTTTATAGATCACTTGCTGTTTTTCTGAGCAAAGATATATAACTAATAGGCTGATATGGTGCACCTTGATAAATAAAGCATTTCAAGCTTAAACTTGAGCTCATTTT